TTAAAAAAAATTTATTTTTAAGTTTTATTTATTTATTTATTTGGAGCGAGCATGAGCAGGGGAGGGGCAGAGAGAGGGAGAGAGAATCCCAAGCAGGCTCCGTATTGTTAGTACAGAGCCTGACACAAGGCTCAAACCCATTAACCGAGAGATCATGACCTGAGCTGAAGTCAGATGCCCAAGTGAATTGTGAAATCCCGACCTGAGCCAAAATCAATTCAGACGCTTAATCATCTGAGTCACCCAGGCACCCTTGATTCTTAACATATTTTATTCTTTAAGTAGTAAAAATACTAAAATAGTTTAAATTAAGTGGGTCTGTAGTCTCTGAACCACACCTTTGACATGTTGTTCCTGAGCACACTTAGAAAACACTCACTTTAAAATTTCTTTAAAAAAAATTTTTTTTAACGTTTATTTCTGAGAGACAGAACATGAGTGGGGGAAGGGCAAGAGAGAGGGAGGTACAGAATTTGAAACAGGCTCTAGGCTCTGAGCTGTCAGCACAGAGCCCAATGTGGGGCTCGAACCCATGAACTGTGAGATCATGACCAGAGCCAAAGTCTGACACCCAACTGACCGAGCCACCCAAGCTCCCCTCACTTTAAACTTTCTAAACATGTTGCTGAGATATGAAATAGGTATGCAAATTAACCTATGGATATAGTATAGCTCTCATATAGTTTCCTCTTTTTCTTTCCTATCTCTGTTCACTCTCTCACACCTCATCCCACAGATAGGGTAAAAAAATATGGTGGATCAATTAATTATGGCAACCAATAGAGGTCCCAGGGCAACCCCTCAAAATGGCTCTGGACAAACTGGAATGCTAACAAGGCAAAGGCCACAAGGCAACCAAAATCAATTTAACCAATTTTTAATGGACACCTCCTATATATAAGATACTATGCAAGGAGATATAACATGATGAATGAGATACACTATCTATACTGAAATACTTTATAATCTAGTAATGGGATGAAACAGCTATGCTGGTAACTCTAAATCCCATCAAAGGAATAAGCAAGATATGAATAAAGGAAAATTCACCTTTAGCCTAAAAGAAAGGGAAGAATTTAAATCAATGGGTCTTTTCATAAAGTGCATAAGACACATGGCATGTACTCTAGTACTTTCCTGAAACCCCATTATAATAAAAATATGGGGTTTTTAGAAAAGAAGATGTATACCTACAAGGATGAAGAGAATAGGAAAGCAAACAACAGACATAAAATTTACAAGTTAAGGAGGTGCTTTGGCCGGCTCAGTTGGTAGAGCATGAGACTCTTGATCTCAGGGTTGTAAGTTCGAGCCCCATGTTGGGTGTAGAGATTACTTAAAATAAAATCTAAAAAAAATTAGTATGTTAGGAAAAAAAGAGGAACTAATAAGGAATTTAGGACCAGAAAAATCTGATTTCTAAGTAGATTATGTATCTATAATTCTAAATATTCTGTACATATCTATAATTCTACATATTTAGTTATATACATAATTCTATACATATATCTATAATTTTATATAGAATAAAAATATGTATCTATATATAAGCACATATATATCTATAATATACATATATTCTATATATTCCTAGACATATAGAAAGCAAAGATCCAGCCTTGATTTATACTACAGAATCTTAAAAAGGCTTATATTTGGTGGTACTGGGCATTTCTGGGTGAAGGAGTACAGACAAATGCTAAAAATAAGGTAATTTGGTTGAAAGTCAGTTTTAGAAGCACCCAGACCCCTATACACCTCTGCCCTGCCCCAGCAACAGAGGTTTATTCTCTGCAAAGGATAAAATGCAAAGGTGTCTGGGTCAGGGGATATCAGGACTAGCTGAAAGAAAGGCTAATGTACTGAAAACAAGGGAAGTAAGGAAATAACGCAGACAGGATGCTGTGAATCCCTCACATCTCAATTCTTTTCCTCTATCCCTCAGTCCCCAGGATGTTGTTTGCCATTTAGTAAGGAGACTGGAAAGGTTTTCTCCGGGCAATCAGACCAGCCCAAGAGGAAAGATCTTAAGCTACTTTATCAGATATTCTCCAACTAATTAACTACCCAAACAAGATCACTCAACAGTGAAGCCCACAGTGCTCAGAATTCCCACCTAAGTGCTGAGAAATTCAACCAGCCTTTTTGTTTCTCACTTTCAAGTATGAACAGACAACCAAGGATTCTTAGACTTCTGAGGAAAGTCCTGTCAAAAAAGACCAAACATAAACTACAACAAAACAAAACACAGAGACTGAGCCTTAAAGGGTGGATGGGTTTCAACAGATACTATAAAAAATAGTCCTACAATTCCTTTCTGTTGATCTTAGGGCCTCTCAAACACAACAATTATCTTTAGCATCAAGGAAGGAAACTGTGAAGGTTGCCAATAAAATGGTATAAAAACAGCTTTCTGCCATTGGGTTACTAATAGCCACCAAAGCCATAAGCTGGGAAAGTATGTGGGATGGGCATGCATCCCCATATACTCCTTTGAA